AAAAAAAAGCTACTGACTGTACTCAACCCATAACCCCACTAGTTAGCACTTTGGCAGGTCCCTCAGTTACATGTATGTATTAGCAAACTTGTGAGAAGCACATCTTGCCTGAGAACACTGCTCGATTACAGCATTTTCTCAGTTAAAATACTGCCACAAAGAGCCGCAGCCTTACAATGTATGTTGCAGTCAGCTCATTTAGATACATATATGTGTGTATTCACGTCAGGGTTCCAAGTCTTGGACCAAGGTGTTTTAGCTGTTTGCTTAGTGCGTGCATTTTTTCTTGCATAGTGCTCTTCTTAGAGGTTGTTCCCTACCCTAACTCCCTCTTGTTCAACTGTTATTGGTAGCTGGTTTTACTTGGCGTACTGACCACTGCTGCATTAATAGTCATGTTTAACCTCAATTAGTACTTTGTGTATTTTAATTTGTAAGGTATCCCAGTTACATGTGGAAATTTGTCTCCAGTGTATTGAGGCTTGGTGAGACATTGAGGTCTGCGTTACAATCAGGAGACACGGTGAGTATATAATCTGTTTTAGGGCTTGAACTACAGTGTATTCTAACTTGTTTCTTTGGTACCTCTGAGATGATTTCCAGGGGTTTCATTAAGGGCCAGGCACTGGGCAAATTGACCAGCTTTGAGGATGATTTTGCCTGCCGGGTTTGACCATCTAGAGGAAAGTTCTTGTTACAACGAAGTTCAGTTCAAAACGTTTTTCCTGCCTGTGAAAACCAATTTCCCTCCTGCTGAAAAATAATGTCAATGAAAACTTCTGGATTCCCCCCTTCCCATTTACTCCTTGTACTTGCTGGTGATATTGCATTTTAACATTAAGTTATTTTAAATTTTAAAAATGTTTCCCATATTTTTCCCTCCTGATCCAAATGTACTGTATGCATACTAGATACAACTGTACATTTCAATTTCCATTCTGCTGGGGTTTTTGTAACTAGCAATATTACTTGTTTGGAATTTGTTTTGAATTGTGACAGGACGCATCAAGAGGTTTATGCCGAGTCATGGTCTCATTAGCTGAGACACATCTTAAATTGTTGCTGTCAGCTGACACGGGAGAAAGAGAATTACAAGGATTTACACTTGTTCAGTTGTTACTGGTGAGGATGGAAAGAGTTGTTAAATTTCTAAAGATAAAGAAGTCATGACCACAAGCCAAACTTGATGGAATGATGACTAACTGAATGAACAAACAATGACACAAGTGNTTTTTTCTCATGCTAATTGGCATAATAATATTATGACATTTTATGTTATTTAAACCCCAGTGTGGTTCGAAAATTTGAATTTAATAAAGGAGAAACGAGATGAATTCTGGTACAGTTGTAGTCAAGGGACGACATCGTGTGAGTGTGCTATCAGCATTGGCATGCCATTTGTTACTGTAATTATTAACATACTCCGCTCACAGAAGGGATTGGAATTTCCTTGGGNGCTCTCTAAGACCAAAACATTTAAAGAAATGTATCAAACTCAACTGGAATTTCCCGAGGGGATTGGGGGGTCTTCCATGGGGTGGGAGGGTCTTCCATACCTCCCCCTTCCATGGGGGAGGTATGGATATTTTCTGGAATTACACATTATTAAACAAAATATGGCTGAATTATTTTGGTTTCAAAGCTACTTACAATATTAATAGCAGTCCAGTTTGGCTATTGGTTGCAGTTAACAGGTGTTGCCATGTCATGCCTCATTTCGGGATTTTTTTGTTTCAGTCATTAGATGCTACACTGTATTTAATTCAATCTGTTGCTGAATATGTTGAACCAAATGAAGAAAGTTTCATCCCTGCTATTCTTTCCTTGTTACCAAGACTACCTGCTCACTCATATGTCTCTCAGACGGCACTGCTGATGGTCGGTATGTGTGTGTAAGGTATATTTACAATAATTACGGCCTCGGTAAATACCACTGTAGGCATTTGTGTTTTCCCATTCACTAAGATTAAGTCTCCATACAAGCCCAGTGGCCCATCAGCCTGGCGCTTATCTCCTTGTTCTATAGCATGAAGCAACTAGGAGTATTTCTACTCCCCCCTGGATGGGATGCTAGTCTATCACAGGGTTACTGCTAGCATTAAATTTGCCGGTACCCATTTAATTGTATACACCTGGGTGGAGAGAGGCACTGTAAGAGTTAAGTGTCTTGCCCAAGAACACAACACAATGTCTTCGGCTTGGGCTCAAACCCAGACCCCTTGAT